GAACTCCATCCCAGCCACACTGCTGAAGTTGAAGAATTCCTCTTCACATCCTCTCTCTACCTCCAAAACCTGTTAACCCCTCTGAGGTCAAATTCCTTATAAACAAATTAAAACCCCGAAAATCCCCTGGATATGATCTCCTCACTTCACAAATCCTCAGACAACTTCCCAAAAAAGCAATCATATTCCTTACCTATCTATACAACTGCATCCTTCGCACAACCAACTTTCCTTTGGTGTGGAAACATTCCATAATCATCCTGTTTCCAAAACCAGGTAAACCTGTTAATAACACATCATCCTATAGACCGATAAGCTTACTCCCGATCCTCTCAAAAATCTTTGAGAAAATCCTTCTCAAACGCATCCTACCCATAATCGAATCCCACAACATCCCTTCTCATCAGTTTGGATTCCGCTCAAGACATTCCACTGTCCAACAAGGCCTTCGTGTTGTGGACCATATATCCTCTGCACTTGAAAACAAGCATTATTGCACTGGTGCCTTTCTGGACGTAGCACAAGCTTTCGACCGGGTGTGGCACGATGGCTTGCTTTTCAAGCTCAAAACCCATTTACCCCAATCCTTATACCTAGTCCTCAAATCCTACCTCTCAAATCGTTCCTTTCAAGTCCGTTGTGACACCGCATTCTCCACTTACTATCCAGTTGAGGCTGGTGTTCCACAAGGCAGTGTCTTGGGCCCAGTTCTCTATATCCTCTTCACTTCCGATATCCCTTCAAATCCCGATACATTTCTAGCTACATTTGCTGATGATACTGCCATTCTATCCTCCCACTCAGATCCTCAAATAGCATCTATAAACCTACAATCTCACCTCTCCTTGATTAAACAGTGGTGCAACAACTGGCGCATCAAAATGCAAACATATCACTTTCACCCTGCGACGCAGATCCTGTCCACCAATCCTTTTTAATTCAATTCCACTTCCATACTCAGACACAGTCCGTTACCTTGGCTTCCTTCTTGACAAAAGACTAACTTGGAACCCACATACCAGACTTAAAAGACAAGAACTTAACCGACGATATGGCCAGCTGTATAAATTACTAAGTAGAACATCCCATCTTTTGATTGAAAATAAACTTTTAATCTACAAGACCATACTGAAACCTATCTGGACCTACGGACTTGAACTGTGGGGAACTGCTAAACATTCGAATATCACACGCATCCAATCCTTCCAGTCCAAAGTACTCAGAACAATAGTCAATGCCCCATATTATGTCACAAACAAGACCCTACACCATGATCTTAACATCCCATTTGTCCTCGACATCATCCCAAACTTTCACCAGAACCTTATCCATCATCCAAATCCTCTAGGTCAATCTCTATCCCTTCATCCCTACAATCCTCCACGAAGGTTAATACGGCAGTGGCCCAGAGATCTCTTGTAAATATGCTTCTGGTGTCCTGGCAATGGCCAGCATCTTCACTCATGTCCTGAGCGTCTGCGGCTCTAGTGCCCTCTTTCAGTCTCCACTGGCTTCTAATACTAGTGATGCGGCTGGAAAAATGGCACTGGGATCTCCTGGAGTCTTGCTTTGCCTTCCACATGTGGGGAAAATGATGGGAAGATTCCTGGATGAATGTATATATTGTATATAGGTATGATTGTGTTTAGAAGTTTCTATTTTATGTTATTTGTTTACTTTTTTTTTCTTTTATTTACTTTATTCATCAGTATTATTTATTTACTTTTTATATTTATTTCTCTATTATGTGTATATATTGCATGAATGAGAACTCTTAGCCCTCCAGCAGTGGCTGATTGTATTATTATTCAATAAATAGATTAAAAAAAAAAATTACATTTAATAGGGCTTCAACAATTATTTAAACAACATTTCGTATAGGTAGCTAGTTTCTTTATTTTTCTTCTGAAAGAGAGGAGAAAGCTCTGTTTGCGCTTGTAATATGATGGGCTGTTTAGGAACTGATGTATTTGAATTTTCTATACTTATTCTCTTCTACGCAGATTATTTTATCAGGGTGGAATTTTTGTCTTATTGTAATATATTTTGTTTTATCTTCATTTACTTGTAGACTAAGTTTCTTTGCTTCTCAAACCAGGATCTTAACGAGTTTCTCAATGTACTCTTGGTTGATTTCAAGGACAGCTATATCACCTGCATATCCAAGGATTTTATGATTCATTCTGATGAGCAACCCCCTCCTCCTATTTTCGTGTGATGTTCTTATCACATTTTCCAGCGCTAAGTTGTACATCGGCGAGAGTCCATCTTCTTGCCCACTATATCTCAGGTCACTAGTTTATCTTCAATCCTTCAAAAGTCAGATCAGTTATAACCAGTGCTGGCCTTTGATAATCGGTGGCTCCCAGCAATGACCAGACATCATCTCTCTCCCTAAAATAATTAAATTTATTTCTTAAGCTGTTTTAGTTGTAGTATGTATATATTTGAGTTCTAGCAATGATGGCTAAAGAGTAGCGTAGGGATCCTTTGGAGTCCTTTTCCCTCTATAGTTGGATGGACTAATCTGACTTGGAGGTCTTTTGCCTGATTGTAATTAGTGGATATGTAGGAACGCCTGTTTTTTTTTTAATTCACTTACTTTGTTTTTTTATTTATTGTATATACTTTTTGATTATGATTCAATTGTTATTATGCTAATGTGGATTTTATATTTTCTATACATCTAGCGTGAATATAATATAACTCAATGAATAAAAAAAAAAATTATAGTACTATATATATTCTCTTAAAGATTTTTCTCCGGAACGTAGATATTCCAGATATCTGAGAAAGCAAAGCAAGAAAAAAATATTATATATATATATATATATATATATATATATAACATTACAGATGTTATATAACAATCATGAAATATCTTAACATAATATTGGGTTGGCAAATAAGTCCTTTTGGTTTTTCTTTTTCTGTCAATATGATACACTTCTTATCTGATGAATTAATCCCTAAGGTGGATTCTTTATCCTGTTTGTAATATGACAACAACTATATCTGTTAACTCTTGTTGAAACTAGCTTAGTATTGTGTTTGCTATTGCACTGTGAATATGGAAGAAAATATCATTCATTATCGACATATTTTGTTGTATTATTTTAAAAAAGATAAGCATGCTGTAGAAGCTCATAGAAAAATTTCCAGTGTTTATGGGGATGACGCCTTAACCGAACACACCTGTCAAAATTGGTTTGCCAGATTTCAATCAGAAAATTTTGACATCAATGATGCTCAACGGTCTGTTCGCCCACATGAAATTGAAATGAGCAAGGTTTAAGGCCATTATTAATCAAAATCCCACCCATCAGTGTGAGAGATTGCTATGGTCCAAAATGTGTTGCACACAAGCGTAGAAAACCATTTTCACAAGCTCGGCTATGTTTCCAGGCTTAATGTTTGGGTCCCTCACATGATTTATTTCCGAAAATCACTAAAAATGTTATAACTTCCATATGACTTTAGAAATCTACAAAAAATTTAGCTGGAATTCAGGGCCACACAAAATCACATTAACAGGACCTTCATAAGGAAACTACAGATGGAGATAAAAAATAAAACCATTCATACGAATTTGAAGAGCAATAATTCAGCTTTCCAACGGATATAGTAACATCAAATTTGGAGAACAACCTGAAGAGATATGAATGATTGGAAGGGTGTTGTGTTCCACCAAGGCAACGCTAGGACCCATACCTCATTGGTCACTCGCAATAAATTATTGAGCCTTGGATGGGAGCTTTTGCCCCACCCTCCCTATTCACCAGACCTAGCTCCAAGTGACTACCACTTATTCCATTCTCTGCAGCAACCCATGAATGGAAAGAAATTACAAAAGGAAGAGGACATCAAAAACCACTTGGATAAGCTTTTTAACAATAAACTCCAGACATTCTATGAACATGGCATTATGCAGTTAGTGAAAAGATGGGAAAAAGTAATATTAAATATAGGTCAATATATTGTAGATTAAAATAAATTTTATGTCTACAATATATTGTTTTATTTCACCCTGAAAAACCGAAGACTTACTTGCCAACCCAACATTTTTGAAGCATAAATAATAAAAGGCATCAGTTGGGTTTTAGTGATAAATTTTATACTTGACGGGACCCATGGTTTCTCTCCACAGCCTTAGCACTGTTGTATACTAAGTTACAAAAAGACCTGTAATCAGTTATCAGACAGTTTTATTCATGAATGTTTTAAAAATTTTATCCTAAGAAGTTGTACTACAGTATTTATTTACTTTTTTTTATCTCATAGACAAACATAGAATTTAAAGTTATGAAACACAGTAGTTGTTTTAAAAGTGAGGAATATTTAATCTAGTAGGAAGCTGATAAAAAAAAAAAATAAATTTTTTTTTCGAATTAAACATGGTTCAGAGAAAAACTTAATCTAGCCACTTAAAATACCTCTTTTTAAAATAGAGCATCAAAGACAAATTCTTCTAGCTTTCTGAGGAAAATTTTGTCTAGTTTGCAATGCCACATTTAACAATTGCTTAAATTAAATAGGTTTTTTAGTTATTATAGCTTCCTATTCTACAAAAAAAACCCATTAAATTTCCTGCTTTGCTGTGCGAAATTGATCCATAGTCAATACAAAATTTTTTTACTCTATAGTTGTACTACCTCTTAATATTTATCACATCATTTATGAGACACTTTATATATTTAAAGGGGGAAAACTTGTGCTTCATAAATCTGACATTACAGTATTTTGAAGAAAAGGAAAACAAAATTGTTTATTCATATAATATAATAAAAAATATTTATTACTTCAATCTACAAAAATAAGTAGATTATATTATTAAAATAAATGATAATATAATTTATCTTCAGTGATACAACAGGAAAAGCATTATCTATATTTTAATTCACAAAAGAAATTACACATAGATTTCAAGAATCTAATTACAATATTAACTCAGATATTTTTATCAATAGAGAAATATAAAACTATAAAGCTAATGAAAATTCATGATACTGAACTGTAGAAGGACAGACTATGTATCACAATAAGTAGATTATATTATTAAAATAAATGATAATATAATTTAACTTCAGTGATACAACAGAAAAAACATTATCTATATTCCAATTCACAAAAGAAATTACACATAGATTTCAAGAATCTAACTACAATATTAACTCAGATATTTTTATCAATAAAGAAATATAAAACTATAAAGCTAACAAAAATTCATGATACTGAACTGTAGAAGGACAGACTATATATCACAATAAGTAGATTATATTATTAAAATAAATGATAATATAATTTATCTTCAGTGATACAACAGAAAAAGCATTATCTATATTTCAATTCACAAAAGAAATTACACATAGATTTCAAGAATCTAACTAAAATATTAACTCAGACATTTTTATCAATAAAGAAATATAAAACTATAAAGCTAACAAACATTCATGATACTGAACTGTAGAAGGACGGACTATATATCACAATAAGTTTTAAGATCCTTAAAAATCACTACATTTAAAAATAAATTGTGGGTAGAACATATGTAGTGTGGTAATGATTTTTATTTTATTTTGGAATTTTACACTGTGGTTTCCTTTGATTTAAATATTTTTCATGTTTCTTTCTTCCTCTCAACCCAAAGCTTTTTTTTACCCAAAGCTCAACCCAATACAGTTTCTTGTCAGGCTTTCATCCAATTTATCTTTTTGGTTTCTTTTTCTTCCTTCTCCTTTTCATAATTAACTCATGTAGCCTTTCAAATATCATTTTTTTTATATGATCAAAAGAGGTTAATTTATTAATCTAATTATAAAATATCTGATGTTTTTTTTAATTGCATTGATATACAAAGGACTAATACCAAGTGACAAAGAGCATTATGTAAAATATAGCCCTTGAGTTTGGATTAATAAAATAATACTTCATCACAGTTCATACTTTACACATCAAGATCTGGGTCATATTGCAGTGGAGAGGTTACTGAAAGAAAAACTAGTTCCATGAGGAAGCCATTAACCTAAACAATGGCTGAGAAACTTTCCAGCGAAGGGAGATATTTAGGCAGTGATATTGGGCTTCATTATTATTAGAGGTAGACATACCAAGATTCAGTTAACCAATAACACTGATAATATATGTAAACCTCGACAAATCAAACATTAAAATAAATTTTACTACATTCAATTACAAATTATAAGGCTTGATAACAAGGTTTTTCTAATCTTGATAAAAAAGAAACTTTACTTGCATAAGCAGGTAAAGTAAACATGTAAATACTTTGGTTGGCAGCTTTTAATTATACTATAAAAATAATTTGTACAGATGTTTACAATATAACCATATTGGAATTAATTTAATATTTTTTAATAGTAAGTATAAAAATGTTTTAAACAGCAATTAGTTGAGATTTATCTGTTGTATTTGCTGTAATCTTAACCTGGTCATCTAGCAAAATATATTGCCAATATAACGGAAATGAAAACTGCTGTAGGAGATATACTGGTGGTCAATACAGATCCATTACATCTATTATCCAAAAAACAAAAGCACCATGTTGTTTCATCATAATAGTTTCTGAAATAAAATATCTAAAGTTAATAAATAAGATTATAATATAATACTTTATTAAAATTATTTATTTATTATTAAATTTACACCTACAAAAAAATTAAAAATACTGGAGAAATAAAATAATAAAGTAAGTGAATTTATGATTAAAATAGTTTAAACTTCTTGATATAAACCTATAACATGCAGGCATACATATTTTTGAATTATTTTCCACTTTTACATAATACTAAAATACTCCATAAACAATTTTTTTTTATTTACACCTAAAAAAATTAGAAACAATGGAGAAATAAAATAAATGATGTAGAAAATGAGCTAGAGGCTGCAAGGAACTGATAGTGATAGACATATTTATTGCAAATCAAGTGAGTATAAAAGAGAGGAGTTTTTCAATGGCATGGATTGACTATAAAAAAGCGTTTGATACTGTACCACACAGTTGGCTAATTGAAGTTATAGAATTATATAATATCCATCCAGGCATAATAAAACTCCAAAGAAAGCTTATGATATCATGAAGCACTAGAATGATAGTGGGTAGAGGCCACAAAGGTTATAACACTGAAACAATAAACATTTGTCGGGGAATTTATCAGGAAGATTCGCTAAGCCCACTATGAGTTTGCTTAGCTCTAGCACCCTCTGAAGCAGCAAACTTGAATACCAATTAAAAATAGGTGATCACCATATAGATCCACCATTAGCAATAGTTCATATATGGATGACCTCAAGTTATATGCAAAAAATAAGGACCAGCTACAATGTATGATGCAACTTGTGTCAATGTTCAGTAATTCAATCTGTAAGTCATTTGATCTTGAAAAGTGGGCCACACTCAATGTTACTAAAGGAAAAGTTAAGGCAGCAGTTCCTTGCAGCTTCAGTCAGGAAAGTTCATGAGAAATCAGTCAGCAGGAGAATTTTATAAATACCTAGGTATTAAGCAAACTATTTAGATAGCCAAGAAAGAGGTACTTAGTGAAATAGCTAGCAAGTTGAGATTCTCCGAAGTCATCTAACTGGTAAAAACAAAATCCATGCCATTAATACATGGATGATACCGTTGGAAGCATACAGTTTTGGTGTAATAAAATGGTCAACTACTGAACTCCAAGAAATGGACCAATTGGTGAGTACAATGATGACAGATACAATAATTCATCACTCAAAGGCATCCATGGCAAGATTTTATTTCTAAGAAAAGAAGGAGACCGTGACCTTATTTCAATTGAGGACTCTTGCCGAAATCGATAAAACTATCTAAAGGAATACTTTATGACAAATGCGTTTCCAATCATCACCTGATGAAAGAATTAGATGAAGGTTACATTGCCCTGAATTTTGGTGATCCAATTCGACCGGAAGAGAGAAATGTCAACTATTAAAAAACTATATGGAAGGAGAAAGAATTACATGGCAAATTTTACCACCAATTACATGAAGTGGATATTAACTGAATTCTCAGTCGAATGAATAAAGACAGGGTAAATACATGGTGAGACCGAAGGGTTTTTTATAGCAATTCAAGATCAGGTTATCCCAACCAGGACTTATAGGAAACATGTATTAAAAGAAAATTGGGTAACGGATAAGTGTCGGCTTTGCTCTCAGACGAATGAATCTATCCAACATGTAACCAATGGCGCATAATATCCATAATAATGTTGCAAACATATACCACCAAAGTATATGCAGAATATCTGGACTACTGGAGAGTGATGAGGTACCCTATTATGCCCTAGAAAAACAGAAAAGAAAATAGAAATGTAAAAGTTTACTGGGATCAAAATATAATAACGGACCATAGGGTATTGCATAACCATCCGGATATCTTATTTATAAGCAAAATAAATAAAACTGGAAAAATTATAGACATAGCAGTACCCTGTGATAACAACGTGGTAATCACCATGGTCGAAAATATCAAGAACTTGCCTTAGAGTTAAAAGTGCTATATCACTTAGAAAAAGTGAAGATTACTCCAATAATCATATCTTCTAATGGTTTAATATTGAAAAGCACAGTAGAGAGTACCCAAGAACTTGGACTTGATTTGGTGCATTTAAAAACTTTATTGACACATTTATTATCAACAAAAATAATATTCAATGTGAAAGAGTATGATATATCGGTTCGAAGGGATGACTAGAAAATTTGAAACATGTTCACAAAAAAAAAAAAAAAGTCAAACTAACACTCTTTATAAAATAAGGCCATAAATCCGATATATCGGTCTTTGCTCAAATTTATGTTTATCTTGATTCCTTAAAGAATGATTGACACATTTATTAGCAATAAAAATAATATTCAATGTGAAAAAGGCATATATATTGGTTTAAGAGGATGACCAGAAAATTTGGTAGTGGTGCACTAACAATAAATAAATAAAAAATGTGGTGTGGTGAGTGCATCACACAATTTTCACTTGTCACCCTCTTTTTAGCAGAAATAAGTATTTCAAGAAAAAGGAGAAGTAAGTTAAAATTATTAATGCTATATTTCATAGTGGATACTTTTATTTGTTTAAGTACCCTATATATACAAATTTTGATTTTTATATAGTTTTAATCTATACAATTAAATATTAAATAATACCAACGATGACATTTATGAAAACTGCATATGTATATATACATAATATGGTCAGAGTCCGTATTATATTAAGCTCATATTACATATGAAAAACTGTTCTAATCTTTTGAGTGAGCTCGGGTGTGCTTGTATTCCTTTGGTTCCTCCAATACAACTATTCTCCGTTAAGATCTCTTATTTAGCCTTTAGTTAATTATCAAATTCTTTCATATTTTATATTTAACTATTATTTATAGTAGAGATCAACGTGATATGGTTAATTATTTCAAATAAATAAAATAAAGGTACTTAAAAGGAAGCTAATATTGAAAAATAGCCCTTTAAGCTCTGTTAGAGAACATCAATGAGAATAAAACCTACATTATATTAAAAACTGCTTAATTTTACACTGATATAATGAATTTAATCAAAATCATTAGAGCCGTTCTTGAGAAAATTATAAAAATGTGTTAAATCGATTGTATAAAGTGCCACTTCAAGTAAGCAGATTTTGATGAAAAAGTTGCTGAAACATCTGAGGCATATAAAAACCTTAAATATGCAATTTCACTTTTGTACGACTTTTCGTTTTCGAGATAAACTGTTAACACACACACACAGACCATTTTGCGATACTTGGTTATTTGGACCCAGGGGACCTTAAAACGTGTATTTCCGTTCAAAACCGAGGTTCGAAAATTTTCACAATCACAATAATTTCCTTCACAGTGTATTTCATATATAGGTAAGTGAAAGTAACAAGAAGAAATCAAACTCTACTAATCTTGACAAAATAATGTCATGAGGCCAATATATTGTTCTTTGGAATATTAGTATCTGTCCAAATTAGGAGAAGGGAAGGGCCATAAAAAAATAATAAGAAAAAATGTTTTTCAATTGTAATTGGTAGCACAATAAAATAAGGTCATAAGAACGATATATCGGTCTTTGCTCAAATTCATGTTTATGTTGATCCTTTGACAAATGATTGACACATTTATTAGCAATAAAAATAATAGTCAGTGTGAAAGAGGCCAATATATCGGTTTTAGGGGATGACCAGAAAATTTGGTAATGGTGCACAAAAAAAAATAATAATAATAAATAAATAAAACAGAAGAAGCCAAACTCTACCAATCTTGATAAAATAAGGTCGTGAGATCGATATATTGGTGTTTGGAATATCAGTATCTGATCAAATTAGGGGAAGGGGAGGTCCAGAAAAAAATTTAAAATAATTTGTCCAACTCTACCAATATCATTAAAATAAGTTCATAAGGCCGATATATAATTCTTTAGGATATCTATATCTGCTGAAAACCTGAGGAGGATGAGAAAAAAAAAAAGGGTGGCATATCGGCTGATAACGATAATTGTCCAAAAGGCCGATATTTATATTGGTATCGTTCGATCTGTAGTATAAATGACCTTAAATCGAGTATTAATACAAGGAGAAGTATCTGAAGCCTTTTAAACCCAAACTGGTCCAGGGCAGAGATGGACTACCACTGATGTTAACCAACGTAGCAATAGAGAAGGAGATAAGAACATCACACGAAAATGTAGGGGTGCACATTAACATGAATCATAAAGGTATTGGATATGCAGATCAGCTATTGTTGGGTATGCAGAGAAACTCTCTATGACTCTGATAGGAAAAGCAGAGAAAATTGGCCTACAAGTAAATGAAGACAAAACAAAATATATGATAAACCAAAAATGTCATCCAATAATAGGATCTGCGTAGAAGGGAAATAATTTCAGAGAGTAGATGAATTCAAATATCTAAGATCCATAATAACTTCAATGAATGACCAACGGTCTGAAATAGACCAGTATATAACAAGGGCAAAGAGAGCTTTCTTATCCCTTTCAATGGTATTGAAATCCTAAAAAAAATTACAAACAAAGAGTATATAATGGTATGGCAAAGCCAGTTCCAATATATGGCTGTGAGACCTGGACAATAACCGGCACCCTAGAAAAAATTATTGAAAGATTAGAAAGAAAAATCCTTCTCTCCCACGATAACCAGAGCTATCTGGGATCAGAATACTGACACATGGAGAAGAAAGACCAATAAAGACCAGCTTACAGAAACTGGTCAATCAAAATTTCACGATATGAAAGCATGGAGGTTAAGATGGGCGGTGCATGTAGCTCATAGCAATCCATCCGGAAGATGGCAACAAAAAATCTATAAAATCTGTAATAAAGAAAAAAAATTCTTAATTTTTTGATTATTTTTTAAAATTTTTTTATTCTACACAAAATAGCACTAGTCAGCGCCTAGAGCAGTTTCTCTAATAAGGATTTCCTATTTCTTCTCCTAAATTGACAGTATGTAATCATATTTTCCATCTGGAATTCTGTTGCCTCCTCTGCTATAGCGTCTCTCATGTCATAACCATGCTGTCCACAGTGGCTGGGAACTATTGGACTACATTCTCTTTCTTCCTCAAAACAGTTCTTCTATAATCTCCTGATAGCTCAGTGCATTAACCAAGGTCCCATTGCGAGGTTAAGAAACTGCCATTGCTGCCTTGGACTAAACTAAAAATACTGCTATATGAGCTTCTGTTTTTATCCATCAACTGAAAGTCAGAAAAATGGCAGAAATTAATTTCTTTTTTTTGGTCTTCCTCTTCCTCGCCTTGTGGGCTATACAGGATTTTGCCATGACTAGGGATTAATGAGAGAGTTAAAGGCCTCCCTCAGCATCCGGACACGAGCTCATGATTATTTTATACCTTTAAAATTTGGGTTTTCATCTGGTGAACGGGCAACCAGCAGTGCTGTGTACCTGCGTTAGCCTGCTCGGCCACTCTGTCCCCCGGAAATTTCACTTCGAAATTTGTAGTCTATTTCCAAATTGGCTCTGAAATTCTGAAAATAGTAGAATAACAAACTTGCACCACAATTCCTCATAGCCCCTTCTACATATCAGTCTGTCTAAATTTGTATCCAAGATGGAGTAGGATACTTCCTGTTTAGTCTTGAACGCCAGCGCATGAGCAATTTGTTGCTTGTCTCTGCCTTTGCTAGGTGTCTCTTATACTAATCAGTGATATGAAAACAGATAATTGTTAAAAGGGAACCTGTTAGGCCATTCCATTTTAAATTTTGATAACAAAGAAGGAAAATGCTGGTTTTTTAAATCATAGTTCTATTATGTAAGAAAAAAAAAATTAAAATTCAACTAAACATCCTACAATTTAAATCTTCCATTGAATCCTGACCCACCCCATCAAGTCCTAATGACTTATGCTTTTCGCCCAGTCTAATTAATTTTATTTTTCACCAAATCACTTTTTGCTGTATTTTAAATGTTTCCTCGAGCTCATAATAGTTCTATTTTTCCACCATACCTATTACTATAATCTTTTTCATTTGTTTATTAATTTTTTTTAATGGAGCTTTGTTGTTTTAATTACTGAATATATTTTCTATTCCTATAGGATACATTTTTGCTTATTTTTTATTTATATTAATGAGTCCAATCACATTGTTTTGGCCACTATGTAATGTTCTTTTGATTTTATTCTTAAGGGACTTTGTCCCAGAATAATAAGAAAATTTTTCATTCCATAAATATAAAAAGAAAAAAAAACAAATTTAAAACAAACCCAAATATAATTACTGAAGGTTTTGGACCTTACTAAATGTAATAAATTTATGCCCATACTTACTTTTTTATTTCCAACTCTTTAATACTATTATTAACATAATTAGCAAGCTTTACATAATTTACATAGCAAAAGTATCGGAATGCAATAACTACAGAGGCATCTCTCTCCTTCCCACTGCATACAAAATTTTATCCATCATACTCTTCAATAGACTGCTTCCATTTGCCGAACAAGAGCTCGGAAAGTATCAATCTGAATTCCGAAAAGGAAGATGTACGACAGATCAAATGTTTACCCTACGAATCCTGTTGGAGAAAACAAGGGAATACCAGATACATACTCACCACATGTTCATTGATTTCCAACAAGCCTACAATTCCATGAACAGAGTAGAAGCATATAAGGCAATGGTGGATATGAGCATCCCTACCAAACTGGTTCGTCTAGTAAAAATGGTGATGGAGGACAACGTATGCTTTATCAGAGTGGGCGAAATGCTATCAAGATAATTCACAATGAGGACAGGTGTGAGGCAGGGTGATGGCCTGGCCTGTTTAGTGTAACTGTTCCTTTGAGTAGCTACCAGGGACTCTGGTATCCAAGTAACAGGAACACTTCTCAACAAGACAGTTCAGATTTTAGGATTAGCGGATGACTTGGATCTTGCGGGAACGACTCTAAACGCCATAAGAGAAGCTTTTAAAGCATTAGAGGAGTCAAAAGCAAGACTGGGCCTAATGGTGAATGTTGAAAAAACGAAATATATGTGCACACTACCTACCCACGACTATGGTGGGAGCCATGTCTCGATAGGTTGCCATAGATTTGAAAGAGTGGAATCATTCATATACCTGGGATCCCTGATCAACCGTAATAACTGCATTGAAGAAGAAATCCAAAGACAGATCCTACCGCACCTATTTCTCTCACCATAGTCTTGAGAAGAAGTGTGTTGTCGAAGGCCTCGAAAGTGAGAATTTATAAGACAATCATACGACCAGTTCTTACATATGGCTCAGAATGTTGGACTGCAACTAAAGCCCTTGAGCATCTCCTTCTCTGTATCAACATTCGTAAAGGTATCAAGACTTTGCTGGGCTGGTCATGTCATAAGGATAAATCCTAACGAAGTTCCTTACAAGATCTTAGCTGGGCAAATGAATGGTACCAGGCGGGTTGGACACCCCAGGCTTCGCTGAGAAGACTGCGTGGCTGCAGACGCGAGATCTCTGCTCGGTGTTATGAACAGGAAGGCAGCAGCACAGAATAGGGAGGACTGGCGGTCTAAGCTTGAGCAGGCTGTGACTCAAATAGTGGGTTGTAACGCCGAATAAGAAGATTAATGAGTTCGTTCACATTGTTTTGGCCACTATGTAATGCTCTTTTGATTTTGTTTTTAAGGGACTTTGTCCTAGAATAATAAGAAAATTTTCCATTCCATAAATATAAAATGAAAAAACAAAAAAAACAAACTAATTTACAACAAACACAAATATAATTACAGAAGGTTTTGGACCTTACTAAATGTAATAAATTTATGCCCATACTTACTTTTTTATGTCCAACTCTTTAATACTATTATTAACATAATTAGCAAGCTTTACATCCACAGTAGCTGGCCGACAACCCTCGTAATGATCGGCAGGAATATCAGTTCTAATACTTTTTAATGAGCTTAGACAATCTCTAGTGATAACCTCCACAGCTAAAAATGAAGCAGACAAAACGTAAGTTGATTTTGATATTAGTTTAATGAATTTAACACAATATTTGATTATATAAGAAATTTCTAAAATAACTGCATTCTTAAATATAGTTAAACAATATTTATAAGAGAAATAGACAAAAACAATCAATCAGGCTCATGCAAATAACTTTCCTGAATGTATACACAATATAGGCAGAATTCATGAAGGATATATATAAAAAAAGTTGGCTTGAGTGTAATAATTACAGAGACATAGTACTGTGCTTATCCCTGTTTTCTTTGCAATCAGGACAAATATACTGCTAAACTAGAAAGGTCTCTAAGATCAAATTAGGTAGAATTATGACAGGAAAGTGGAAACTGGAAAAAAATAGGGAAAATACATTGAAATGTAAAAAAATTATACACAAAACATGAGTGGATTTCTTGTACAGCTGGCCCACAGGCACGATAGATAATGCTGTCCCTTCAGGTCACTTGACCTTCTATTTTTTAAATCATAGTTAAGAACTAAGTGGAGATCATTTTTTGTTTATATGATAACAGAATGTTTTTTCTCGTGATAGTAAGACCAAAAATTAAGCTGAAAATTACACTTGTTTTATTTTAATTGTCTATGTAAGAGCCAAGATATCCCTTCACTCAGTCTGTTATTAGTAATAATTGTATATAATAACCCAAGAGCCATGAGCTCATTGGTCCACGAGCCACATTGAGACCTCCACTAAGATCTACGGGCAACGTTACGACCTCCAGTAAGTCCTGTGGCCATAATAAACAAGGCTTGTTTCACATTTCAGTTGTGATATGAGATTTCTAAAATAAACAACTCTTGCAATAAAAGTTGTAGTAACCTTGTGTTGGAATAATTTACTAAATTTCATATTTTTAAAATAATTTCTAAAATTTCACCATAGAATCAAAGAAATTTTCTTGGGTCAAATTGGAGGTGTTGCGGGCCATGGGTCATAGTTAGGAGACCCCAGTAATAATCTATTATATTTATATCAGAAGAATATATTTTTATCATATTGTTATTATTTTATTACACATAATTTTTACCACTTATAGGTATAGTATATTTTAGTAAGAAATTAAAATCTGGATATTTTGGGTGGAGAAAACTTTTTAAAATTCGTGAAGGAACCTAGCATAGAACAAGCAAGAATACAGAATGATTCTTTCTCTCATAAATAAAGTAACAAGGTTTACAGACATGCCAAAAGCCATGAGTCTTAAACATCTACAAATGCTTGTTAGACAAAAATGATCATTCATGATGTTTACTCATTTATGGGATTCCAATTTCTTGAACTAAATAGCCTTTTGAACTGCTTCTAGTCCGGTTTCAGACCTGACTACTCTACTCATTCCGCCCTCATTAAAATCTTCCAAGATCTCCACACAGTCATAGACCAACAGAAACTTAACAACCTTATCCTTGATTTTCCTAAAGAATTTGATCCAGTAGACCATAACTTCCTCCTAACCAAACTTATAAATATTTTCTGGTCATCTAGTGTCTTTGAGTGGTCCCAATCCTTTCTCACCGGTCGCTCCCAGTATGTTGTAATACCTAATAACTCTTCATCAGTGTCACTACACTTGTCCAGGGGTGTTCCAAGGTTCCTCTTTATCTCACACTCTCTTTTCCATCTATACCAATGACCTCCCTTCCTCTATCATGCACTGTGGATACCACCTGTATACCAATGACGTCCAATTTTGCCTTTACTTCAACCCCGCTGATTCCTCTAATGCTTTAATGAAACTGCAGCAAGACATAAATAGAATATGGGAATGGGCAAACCTTAATAAGCTAATATTAAATGCGGAGAAGACAAAAGCCATCCTGATCGGATCCCTCTCACTCCTCAAATCCATTTCTGCACCTTCTAATCGTCTCCTGAACAACTCACCTATCTCCTTCTATACAACCATTAAAACCCTTGGTGTTACCCTAGATCAAATCCTCTCCTGGAAACCACACATCTACCAAATTTCCCACCATACTATTTCCACTCTGAAACAGCTTAACCATCTACGCTATCTCCTTCCATTTGAAACCTGTCAACTCCTGGTTTCATCTTTTGTTTTCTCCCACTTCGACTATAGCTGTGTGGCGGATTCTTGGGAGAACTCGAAGCCAAACTGAAATGTCTAATGGATTGACAAATACTTTTTAACTCAAGCCGTCTTCCTCTGGAATTCTATTCCTTCTGATATTCGACATGCAAATTCAGTGTCCTCTTACAAATCTCTCCTCTTTATTAAACACCTACTCCATTCCCAATCTGGTTGATCATGGAATGCACTTAAAAATGTAAGTCATAAGACTCTCAAAGTACTCCCAGATACTTTGATTATTTTGTTTATTTATTTTACTTTTCTCTGTTTATTTTATATTTATGTACATTTTTATATCTTTTCATTATCTGTACTTTTATTTTATAACCAATCATCTTGTAAATATTTAATTTAATTTTATGGACACACCAACATGTTAATTTATATTCTGTATTTATAATTTGTTCTAAAGGGACGCTAGTCTCAGAATAATAAAATTGATTGAGGGAAGTAGGTGGTTCTATAGTAGTCCAGTTTAGTTCAACAATATGGATGCCCTCCGTAGTGGAAAGACTTCTGATATCAAAGGAAGTTAAAATAAATTTGTTTGGAATCTGTCAAGTTTTTAATTGTAAACAATTTTTTTTTTTTATGCCATACAGATTATAAGACGCAAATAATTTAAAAAATGAACTATTTATGGAGGAATATTGGTACTGGTACTGAAGTGCTAATCCAAAATGGCAACTGGGCACAAGATCACACTATGGATCCTATTCCAAAAAATGACGAAGTGTGAAATTTGAAACCAGGGGACAACCAATCACAAGAATTTTTCTATTTTTGAGCAAAAAAATTAGTAATGCTTTAATTAGATCACAACAATTGGGTAAACAATGAATCCTTTTCAATTTTCATAAATGGAGATGAATCATATCCAGTTTATCATATAAAACTTAGCAGTTATTCATCTTCACTTTCTACGATCTCTACTAATCTCAATTAACCTCTCCTTAAAAACCGGATCACGTTAGTTTACCTAATTCTGAATAAGTGTGACAAGCTTGTCATTGTATGTAAACATAATTGGCAATACTCAGCCACTTTCGGGATTCTATCTATAGTGTGATTGATGTGATCTTGTGCCGACTTCCATTTCGCAGCAGCAGTTCTGAATACTGCTGTAGTATTATATTTAGAAGTCATCATAATAATCACAGCAATTGTAACAAAAATAATCTTAACAGATATAGAAATTTTATTTAAAAAACTTACCTCCTTTTCTTTCAATGAGTTTAACACATTTATCATCGGTTTCAGGGCAAGCTTGACTCCAATTCCAAAGCCATTCAAAAGGTGAGCCACACCCTGGGTGGGTTGAAATGCATTGATAACAATATAAAGTTGATCCGATACCGAATGCATTACCTAGATAATATTTAAATATATGTAGTAGTTATATTTAAATCAAGCTACGATGATAATATTAAAAGTTTGATGATAAATTCGAAGACAAGAATAATCTTCCATAGAAATTCCAATCATTTGCTATTTCTATTGTATTGAATTGAATTCTATTGAAATAGAATAAAATCGAAGTTAAAACATAAAGTTTACTCACATTGCGTAAAATAGTTTAAAATGAAGACAAAAAGAAACAGTACACACTTCATTTCTAAACAGTATAAGCAATCACACTTGTTTACATGAGTGAAGGGAGGGACCGGTTACAAATAAGGTAGGTATTTGCGATACTATCGATATCAGTAGACATCGATATTTTGTTTCGATATTTGCTAAACGTATCGAAATATGAGATTCGATATTATCGTAATATCGAAAGAAACATGCCAATATTGGAATTTAATATCGCATGTTATTTATATTTTTTAAATATAAATGTTTAATTGATATTTTGAATTAATGATCTTGTTAGTAAGGAAGAGATGGTCCTGAGTGGCGGTCATGAAAAAAAAAAAAAAAATTAAAATAGTGAAAACTATTTAAAAGTATTTTATCTCCATATTATACTACGGTCAACTGTATTTAAAATAATATTTTTAATTCAATACAGGTAATACAAATTTAATTTCCTAAATAAAGTTACTTAAGTAAAAGTACTTAAATATTTATATTTTGTAATTAGCAGCCCTTCAGTATCCCTTCTGATTTTGAAGTGAATTTTAGTTATTTCATTAATATTAAAAATAAAATTGAATAATGCCGAAAGTAGAACTCTGGTAAAAAATTAAAATGTGGTTATCAAATTACTCTTAACTGAAATTTGGCCCGAATACTACACCAAGTTTAAATATTGGTAAATTTCATTTTCTTCAGCAATCTACCTAGAGATATGGAAGCACGGGCGGATCTACGGGGGGGCTTTCGGGCTGAAGCCACCCCCCAAAATGGTAAAATATAACCATGTTTTATCGAAAAAAATATTAAAAAATGATCTGTTAAAGCATAATTATTCGTGTAATTACATTTAAAAGGGCTTTAGGAATCACTTAAACACCAGTTCATATAGGTAGTTAGTTTCTTTCTTATTTTCCAAAGTAATTATCGTTATTTTTATGAAAAAAAAATCTTTCGGGCTGAAGCCCCCCCCAAAATGGTAAAATATAACCATGTGTTATCGAAAAAAATATTAAAAAATGATCTGTTAAAGCATAATTATTCGTGTAATTACATTTAAAAGGGCTTTAGGAATCACTTAAACACCAGTTCATATAGGTAGTTAGTTTCTTTCTTATTTTCCAAAGTAATTATCGTTATTTTTATGAAAAAAAAATCTTTCGGGCTGAAGCCTCCCCCAAAATTAAATCCTGGATCCGCTAGTGTATGGAAGTACATTCGCTTAGTGTTGACAGAATTTCCCAACTTCTGTTATAGGTTTTTTTTTTAATTCAAATATTTTTTTAAATTAAGAAGCTTTGAAACAAAGTTTGATCCTGTTTCGATTTGTCAATATAATAAACTATACAAAACAGATGATTTTTTCATGTTTTTGGGTGTTAATTATACAATTTGGGATTGTTATTGCACGATTTTTAGGTTGTTTACTCGTTTTCGAATTTTTACTGAACGAAGATCCCGTCTCCAGTAATTAGTATTTAACTTGAATCTATAAGTAAATGATTACGTAAAACAATGAGGCTAAAAAAACAATAACATTAGATTAAATTAATTATTTATCAATCATTTGTTTCCAATTAAATTGTTATGAACACTTATATGAATAAAATATTTCTATAATGTATTTTGCATCTGTTTCAATCTATAATGTAGCCATAATATTTGTGTAATCTGTAAAGTTTAATTTATTCCTAGACATTATAATGCTTCTTGTTTCAAAATGGTTCTTTTCTTGTTTTCTGCTAGTTTAATATTTAACAGTAGTTTTGTGATGAATAAAAATTGAATAATTAAATATTGTGTAAAGAACATTTGAAAACAAAACATTAAATGTTTAATGGCATAAAATATTGCTATTTGCCTAAAAATAAATAAATTAAAATTGTGGGATGAGGAATGTGGCCTGAGTACTGACATTTTTATTGTAGGCCAATTATATATCTCGAATCGGGATTCGTTATTCCTTTATGAAATTCGTTATCTTTCGACACATCCGTTTATCAAAATCCCTCGCTGCTGAGAGCTGGAAAAGAGGCTTATATTGCATGTAACAGATTCTAAACAAAAATAACTCAGTATAATAGACACCTATACAGTTGAAATATTGAAAATCACGTTTATATTCATTAGCAATTTCTAACCATCTGGAGATTACCGATTTTGTTCAGAGTAAGTGACCTAAATTAAATTAGTTGGTACTCATTGGACGCAAAATTTGACGCACTACAACTTTCATTTTATGAGTTTTTCTTCTTAAGGAACTCATTTCAATGTTGCTGGGCCATTTATAGTAATTGTCTCAATTTTTGACAAATTTGATAAAAATCAGCGTTGGTTGACCGTGGTTTAATACATTACAACGTAACTAAATTATAAAGTATATGTAGCCGTTCGACGCACAATTTAATGTTCTTTAGTTTATTAAGGAGTACACTTTTCGCTTTGATGAATTGTTTAGGAGTTATTGGTGAAAAAACAAAAACATATCGAAAAAATCTGACTTTTTTGGCTGTAAAAAGTTTTCCCTTGGTGGCCCGCGTTAGCAATTTTGTTTTTTACATGTCTAAAACCACATATACAAGTTAAAAAAATAAAAACTTTTCTCAATGGATTTCCCATTTCGATACTCAAATTACTGGCCTAATATTCTTTAAATCAGCCAACATTTTTTAAAGCAGCGGCTCTGGAACGGCAGACAAGGTTGTTTTTACTCAGAATAACATATACTTTCGTAATTTAGCAATCAAAGCTTCGCCTGCGATGAGGTCGATTTTTGGGCCCCGGCTCCAGTGCTAGGAGGTGTTTTAAAGAGATGTTACACGGTGGGCCAAACCCCTTAACATTTTTGTTGGAACATTGGATTTTTTTTTTTAAATAGTTACAAAGAACACAACTATATGGAATTCATTGGGATGTGGGAGAAAGGTTTACGTTTCTCCCACATCCCAATGAATTCCATATAGTTGTGTTCTTTGTAACTATTTTAAAAAAAAAATCCAATGTTCCAACAAAAACATTTTCCGCACTGTCCCAAAATGGCGTCCAAACATTGTGTTTGACGTCTCAGACTTGAGTTATTTTTTCGCTCTCTGAGATCCAGCATTTTTGGCCTAATTTCGCCACAATTGGCCTTTTATTAAAGCTGGATAGTTAGTAAATAATAAAATAAACGTTGTTACCTAACAAATTTGCAAAATTCTTCAAAGCTAGGAACTGTCCCTTCGCCAAGACTATTCGCAAACATTCTTCTTGTATAAGTGTCTACAACATTCAGTCCGAGATGCAGTAAAACAAAATCAGCAACGTTGTTGAGTTTAAGGTTTTTTAAGGCATTATAATTATCCTTAAATGTGTCCAGAAAAGTTTTAAAGTTGGAAAAATTATCGACAGAAAATGATTTTAACCATATAATTTTGTTAAGATGGTAGTGCCTGACTCTAGTGCCTCCCAGTGTTGGTCAACCGTGAGGCCTTCCGCATTCAAGGGTTCGAATTTATTTTTCAGCTTAATTTAAAATTCTGCTTGTACTATGGGGTTTTTCAAATTACGGACTTCGCACCTCTTTCTTTCCACTAGGTCCCTTATTCGGTGGATTCGCTTCAACCTCTGACAGAGTTTGATTCTAATCAGAGTATGTTCCGAATCACAGTCTGCTTCACGATAACTCCTTATGTCTTGTATGGAGCTTTGGTACATCTTGTCTATCAGCACATGGTCGATTTGGGTTTTTGCTCCTTTAGGACTTACCCAGATATACTTACGTAAGTCCTTGTGCGGGAACATCGTACTGCTTACTACTAGACCTTTAACGGCTGCCAGACTAATACATCTCACTACATTGTTATCAGAGTTGGGCATTTACTCGAGTAAATGTCGAGCAGTGACGTCACGAGTGATCACTCTTGGAAGCTGAGCCATGAGTAATTTTGAAAATCACTCGTGAAATATTTTTCCTTCATGAGTAAATCACTCGTGAAAAATGTTATCTCCATGAGTAAATTACTCATGAAAAATTTTAACGCCATGAGTAATTTTGAAAAAAAAAATGTTTTTATTTTATTTAACCTAATTTTTTTTTTCACCTTTCCGATTTATTCAATATCGGGGTCGACATATATGTTTCGGGGGGCGCTTTTTATGAAAATGATATCCAATTTGAGATTGGGCCCCCCGCCCCCGTTTTTTTTTAACTTTTGGGATTAAATCGATATCAGGGTCGACTTATAGGTTTTGGGGGGCGCTTTTTATGAAAATGATATCCAATTTGAGATTGGACCCCCCGTCCCCGTTTTTTTTTAACTTTTGGGATTAAATCGATATCAGGATCGACTTATAGGTTTCGGGGGGCGCTTTTTATGAAAATGAAATCCAATTTGAGATTGGGCCCCCCGCCCCCGTTTTTTTTTAACTTTTGGGATTAAATCGATATCAGGGTCGACTTATAGGTTTTGGGGGGCGCTTTTTATGAAAATGATATCCAATTTGAGATTGGACCCCCCGGCCCCGTTTTTTTTTAACTTTTGGGATTAAATCGATATCAGGTCGACTTATAGGTTTCGGGGGGCGCTTTTTATGAAAATGATATCCAATTTGAGATTGGGCCCCCCGCCCCCGTTTTTTTTTAACTTTTGGGATTAAATCGATATCAGGGTCGACTTATAGGTTTTGGGGGGCGCTTTTTATGAAAATGATATCCAATTTGAGATTGGACCCCCCGCCCCGTTTTTTTTTAACTTTTGGGATTAAATCGATATCAGGGTCGACTTATAGGTTTTGGGGGGCGCTTTTTATGAAAATGATATCCAATTTGAGATTGGGCCCCCCCGCCTCGATTTTTTTTAACTTTTGGGATTAAATCGATATCAGGGTCGACTTATAGGTTTGGGGGGCGCTTTTTATGAAAATGATATCCAATTTGAGATTGGGCCCCCCCGGCCTCGACTTTTTTTAACTTTTGGGATTAAATCGATATCAGGGTCGACTTATAGGTTTCGGGGGGCGCTTTTTATGAAAATGATATCTAATTTGAGATTGGACCCCCCGCCCCCGTCTTTTTTTAACTTTTGGGATTAAATCGATATCAGGGTCG